CGGGGGAAGTAGTATTAATGAGTTCCTGATAGTATTTACTCAATAATGCTCTGAATCAAGCTCATCTCTTGCCAAATGAGGGACTTCTGGCAAGAGATGAGCTTGATTCAGAGAATTATTCAGCTTGATTCAGAGCATTATTGAGTAAATACTATCAGGAAGGAAATGAGAACTCAACAACTACTTCAATTGTCAGAGAATCCAAACTATTTCTTTTGGCATCATCTGTGTAGCCAGTTTTCATACACAGACACACAGACACACACAGACATGCAGACACACACACATTTGGTATGTTCAAAGATGTGTCTGGCTGTGTCATGTAGATGAATTTCCATATGTATCAATAAAAAGGAATAATTATCAGTGAGCTAAGGAGTCTTCTGAACTTTCCCATTACATCCAGGCATCAAGGGGACTGTTCTTAACATATTATCAGGCTTACAGATCATTGCTTTAGTATCTCTGAGTAGGGAATCTATCACACATGATGTCCTCATTTTCAGGACAAAGGCCAACATTCTTCCCTTTGTACATCATGCAAGATCTTCTTCCTTGAGTCCTCCGGTGCTTTATAGCAATAGCAATCCCACTTAGACTTATATACCGCTTCACAGTGCTTTATAGCCCTCTCTAAGCGGTTTACAGAGTCAGGATATTGCCTCCAACAATCTGGGCCCTCATTTTACTGACCTTGGAAGGATGGAAGGCTAAGTCAAACCTGAGATGTGAGGATTGAATTAGCCTGTAATACTGCCTTCTAACAACTGCACCATCACGGCTCTATGCAGCTGTTCTTCATCCAGAGATACATGGGTGGTTAGTAGGTAAACCTCCTGCTAACATTTCTGTGTCTATTGCAATAATTCCTTATCTTCCTTCATAAGCTGGAAAGAGGACTATTTTGTTTCCAGCCTCTTCATCTTCTCTTCCATGAGGATAATCTGCCTGAACTCGGAGCATGTACATTTCTTCTAGTCTTCAGGGAGGAAAACAAATATGGCACATCCCCTACAGACCACAAAAGCAGTTTACTCTATTTCCATCTTGCTCAGATATATAAAAACCAAGAACTTGGTCACAAATACTTAGATACTGGCGCAAGCTTATGTATAACAAGTGAAGCATATGGACCTCAAAAGTAAGCATAAGCTCAGAGATTTAGATAAGACAGAAACTAATCTTGATATGTACTCTGCCAATAGCAGGGGATGTTGCTTTAACCCCACCTCTCTCAAATTCTCAGAGGCACTGTTCTCATAGCTTTTCATTATTTTCCTTCCTTGCTTGACTACTCTGGAAAAGCTATGCACAGATATACTGAGCAAGATGTTTTATATATTCTTCTCGGTGTGAAAAGTTTTTTCTTTGCTTTGCAGGAACTGCTTTATGCTTTGGCAACTTTCCCAGGTTTGAATATGCTAAAGCACATAGTTAATGAAGAAGATGAAAATGTCATCCAAAAGCCACTAAATAGCATAGTTCCAACCGTTAAGTCAAGGTGTTCTTCGTTCTCCTTTCAGAAAAAGACCATCGCTTTGACACAGTGCTAAGATCCTGGAGTCCGTTTTCATAAAGAATCCCACCCCCAAATCAAGGAAGGAAAACCATAAGTCATAATTAAAATCTGAAAATGAAAGGCAGAAGGCAGAAGGACTCAAGCCTATTTGGAAGATCAGTCTAAAAAAATTCAATTCTTATAAATCAGAGGACATTGTCTGGGCTGTGTGTTACTCGTTATTTATTTTATGCTTTAAAGACATTTCTAGGTTACCTAAGGACTAAAGCCCTCCCCCATGAAGCTTATACAATACAATCTAATAAATAATAAAGGAGCAAAAATTAATAAAATCAATAAATCAAGCAATAACCATGTATAGCTAGACAGTATTAAAATATTGCACAAGTAAAGATGAAAATCAAGAACAATCCAACTGAACACAATCACAAAAAGGCCAAGGAAAACAGATGAATTGTTTGGGAGTTAATGACAGAGCTTGATGGATCCCAGCTGGATTATCATTTTTATCGGCATTTGCAGGAAAGTTTCCAGGAGATAGCAAAGCTACACTATATAATGCAACTATTTTTTTGCATCCAAAATATGTATCTTATAATACACCAGTCCATTTTTCATATATTTATGCATTGTTCCTCGTGTTGCATTCCATAGAAAAAACATGCTACTAGTTTCAAAGACCTGTATATATTTTGGAATACTCCCTTTTAAATGAATTTGATCATTTCACATGATTTTTTCAGGAAAAAGATTTTATATTCTAAAACAGGAACATAGGAAATTGAGTTAAATCACTTCATTAGTTCATTATCTTGTCCATGCCAATGGAGACTCCCAGCTCCACTACATGGAGAATTTCAGCCCAGCCTGGAACAAATTTTAATGTATTTGAAATAGTTATAACCTGCTTGATACAATCTGCATAGCACTCTTGGGATGCTGTAAAGTCAAATTCAAAGAAGAACACCACCAGGTCCCATTTGTTACTGTTCTTCAGCCAGCTTTATTCCATGTCAGTAACTAGATAAAACTCTTATGCTTAATATTGACGGGGAGGGTGATTGGGAAAACGCTAACTGATGTTTTGGGCTTGATTTTTTATTGCAGAAGTGTTGAACTAAGGGTTTCTTCCTTTTCACTTGATCTTGCCCTGCAATCACCCTCTGCTTGTAATTCATGAAGATTTCTGTTGCATCCTGTTTCCTCTTGTCTATCGGGTTCCATTTTGTTTCCATTTCTTACATTTCCATGTGGTATACTATTTTAACAAGAAGCAGGCAGACTATGGTAGAAACTGTTCCTGAGGACTTTTTGATGTTCTTTTCTGCGATATTGCCATATTAAAATAGGAAGTAACCAGCAGGTGGTTTCTCAAATAAGTACTGTTTTCTCGAGGTGAGCAGGCCTATGAAAGTCTTAGCACTTTTGTGTCTTATTGCAATAATTTCTTCAGTTCATCTAGCCTTTTCGTAATACTCACTTGTTCAGTATCTCACAAGATATTGAAAAAGTCAATCAAGTTTATCTCTAAGGGCTCTTCAGAACATTGACTTCTGTGGAAGGTACAGATTGTTTGCTCAGGCTGTCTCTTCTCAAGGACAGTGATGATAGAAAGTCTTTGAAGTTACCTATTGTTATGTTGTTACAATTAAATTTTAATGTAAAAGCACTCTTATTGCCAAGATGAGTTATTAATGAGCTAACTCCCTCTGTATGAAACACATGCACTGGGAAGATTTCAAAATTGCCCAAAATTGATTTCCTTTTGACAACATTCTGGCCCAGGTAGGATGTTTAAAGGTTAGAAGGATTTGTTTAGACTCTCCTGGATAGAAGCCATTCAACCTTCTGCAAATCAATCAACTGCCTTTCACAGTGTAAAAGCTAACGGAGGGAGATAATGGTTGCACTTCTGGGCCTCCATTTTCCTCTATTTACTCTGTTATTTTGAATTTGTAGAGTGATTTGATTTGGCTGTAAGTAATAGTTATGTTGTCTAATACTTCCTGAGAGAGTGATACTTGCCTTCCATGCTCCTCTGGATGTAGTTTTATATCTATTAATTTATGCTCACTCTCTTTTTAGGTTCCAAAATAGGATCAACTTTCCACCACTATTATGTGTTTTAAGACACAGTTGTTTCTAGATGAGCTTGACTGACTTAGCAGTAGTATTTGTATGACTATGTTTAAATTTAATGAGAGTGTCTTTTACAGTGTTCACTTTGTTGTTAATTGTAGTTAGAAGCTCAGAATTGACAATACTATTTATGCTGTCAACAATAATTGTCAAGTTATACAGTCAGTAACATTTTTAAAATCCTTATCACTTTGTTGTATAAGCTTTGCAGTTGGTGGACAAATGGCTTTGTTCTGTGAGGGGGAAACTTCTTCAGGCGTTGAAGCAGAAAGATATAAAAGTCTGGAGCTCTCAATCTCCACCTGTATTTTCCATCCCAGGAGGTCATATCTATTACAGAGACTAGGGGCAAGAGCTGAGCGGCCTGGTTGCTTAGGGCAAGAGATGTTTGCCTTTTTAGATAACTGTCAACTTGGAGCAGTTTTATAGATTTGAGTGAAATTTGAGAAACAGAATGTGAATGTTGCCTCTTCCTTTTTCCCTCCATGGCAAAAAAGGTAAAAATACAGATCTCCAGAAAAATAGTAAATATACAGGTCTCCAGCAGAACAAGAATGGAAATAAATTGAAATAAAAATAAAGTAGAATGGAGTAGAATGAAAAAATGCAAAAGCTAAAGTTAAATTTTTAAAATCGGCAGCTCTTAATAAGTGATGTTATGTCAAAGCCTTCTTTTTAGTCTCTTCAACATATATTCATAATTATAAGCATTTTAATAGAGAAGTATGGTGCATGGTGACAGATATTATAACTTTATGTGTTCAACATTTATTATTCCACACACATTATTCATGTACGTGTCAATGTGTCCATGCTTGAATTAAGCTCTGTCATCAATTTTAGCTGATTCTGCTGGACACAGGAAGTATTGGAAACCATATTACCACTACTTTGATATCACCTCGAACAATAAGAAGCTTCACATCAATCTTTGAATATAAACACTTTGCATATTGCTTAGTTGCAAGAGTAACTTGTATAGACCAAACACTTGCTCATTCTCCAGTTTTTTTCTAATATATAATTTACCAGAAACTGGTGCAACATAAAAAAAATAAGTATTTTTGTCCATACTATATACACTTGTTTCAAATTTTTTATGTTCCAATTTACCGCTACTCCTTCTGGCTAAACAGTAAACTGATTCCATGCATCATCCATAAAACCTTAAGTATACTTAACATTGGAAGAGCTATTTGCATAATCCTTTATGTTAGGTTTGCCAGGCTATTAATTCAAAGCACAGAAAGTAACACTGAAAAAAAGGACTAGATGTAATACATGTACATATGAAAGACCTTAGATATCAAAGGGATTGAGGGAAAGGATTTCTAAGCCTTACTTTTTCATCTTCACATTTGGTTCCAGCCAAGACAAGGCCCGGATCAGGCATATCATCCCCCAAGTAAACATGTGTTCCTCGGCACAGAATTTTGCCTCCTCCTTGTAGAGGGATGTTTGTTTCTATTGAGACAGCATTGGTGCCAATTACAGGTCGACTCGCTCCCCCTTGACATTGAATTTTTCCACACTTTGAATCTCTGAAAAGAGAGGAATAATGTAGGAATAATAGAGATCAGCATCTCTATTAGCACTGCTTTACTTATTTTTGTTTCGGACAGATGCACAGCTTGTACCTGGGTTCACATTTGGCAAAAGTACTTTTGGAATCCTTGCCACAGTTTCCATATGGATCTCCTGCAGAATTGACTCTCTGGAAGCATATCTCAGGGGCAGGTTTAGCGCCTAAAACAGAGGCAAAAATAAGGAATCCGTATGAAGAATGTAAGAAAGTAAAATCTTGGTAGGGAAGAATGAAGAGAGGAGGGAAATTCTTGGATTATGCCTTTAAAGCTCCCCTCTTCTTCCTTCCAAAAGGCAAACAGGCATTTCTACCCACCTCTGTGAAATCACGAGATTATTAGCAATGTTCATGGCAGTCCCTTGGAGGTAAAATAAAATTAAAGAATACATTGTAATTGGAATAGCTATTCACCCGGATACATCTTATTATTTAATATAACTACTTACATTTTGGAACTATAATTATATTCATATTCTTAAGGGTGTGGGGTGTGCGTCTCTTTCTCTCTCTCTCTCTCTCTGTGTGTGTGTGTGTGTGTGTGTGTCTACCCAAATGGCTGCAGCAAGAAATATTTTGTTCCAGCTTTTAGAATAAACTGTGATGGAATTTAAATTTCTTGGTTTGATTAAACATGGTTTATTAAATAGATTACAATTTGCTGAGATCAAACAACACATTATACCCAAACCATCAAACCATTTTATTCCTTAATATGATACCATCTGAGCTGCATTAAACGATCATAATAAAGTTAGTGACATAACCTTCTGACATAAATTAATACTTTTTCTTTTAAATATTTATAATATTTAAATATTATAAATAAATATGTGTATTTATCTAACCTTATTTTAAATATTCTTAAACACAAACAGTATTACATTGGTTCCCAAGTGGATTAATTGTGATCACACAATAAATTATAATATTAATACATAAAATCCTATACTTATTAATGAAATAATACTTAATGTTCTTACTATTTTCCCTATATATCTAATCAAAGTATAACTATCACTATTATTAATAAATCAATAAATCAATTAATTCAATTATTTAACAATCAGTTACAACAATCAATTTTCCTTTCCCCAGTATGCATATTTATAATCATTATAAAGAGAGAATAAAAAAGGAGAGATAGTTCATCATAGCGCCAAGTGATGAGGGAAAAAGAAGAAAAAAATATTGAGCAAATGTATACAGAAAAAAGAGAGTAAAAAAAGGGGAAAAAGGAATTTTGAAATCAGTTTTTAGCTTTCCGTCTCTAAGTTTGAGAGCTTTCACTCCAAACGCACCGGAAGTGGGGAGGTAAAAAATGCTGAGTAGTGACTGCAATTACACAGTATCTCCACACATTCGGAAGCTTCCACTTTTACTTTTTGTCTTAGCGTTCCTAAGTTCAATTTTCCTGATTTTCTTCAGATGGAACCACCTCCTCAATTAGATCAGTATGCTCCCTAAAGGGCTGTTAAGTGGTTTATATCAGTTATATTGTTACGATAGCTTCAGGGTTTCTAAGTATCGCCTGTGGTGCCACACTGTCTCTATTCCGTCAGCTCCGATCTTCTTCCCGTCTCCGCTTTAATAAAGTCTTTTAGAATAAAAATCAAATGAGATAGTCCAAATCCTCCACAACTTCCAGGCACCTTCCAGCCGCTAGTCTCCCAACCTTGTAAACTTCCCTTTTTACTCATTACTGTCCTCTCTCTCTTTTCTGTCTGCCAAGCCCTTTCACTTTCACTTGCCTCGCATCCGCTTTTTGGCCACTTTCTTTTAGGGCTCCGGACAGACACTTGTAACAGCCTTATAAGGCTTAAGTCTATAGCATTCCAATCCTCCTCTCCGCCGCTAATTTTCTCTGCCACGCTCTTCCCCAATGATCTCACAAACTGTCACTCACTCGCTTCTTTACATCGGTGGCAGTCCGGACTTTGGAGCCGTCATTGATAGGGGGCTGTTTCTTGCTCGTTGGGCTCTGGAGGGCTCCTCTTCGCTGCAGGGGGGTTGCCTTCCCCACACTGCAACCCAAGTCTCCCCCACGCCAGTACGAATCTCTCCGGGACTCGTGCACCCTCAAAGAATTGCGCCAACTGCAAAAGGAGATTAACTGAAACCACAGATGGGCTTCTGCACCTCTGTTCGTCCTTGCCTTGCCACTGGAAGTCCTATTAATACTTTTTCTAGTAAGAGGGAAAACTCAGTATGGGAAAAGCACAAAATTAGCGAATAGAAAATTATGTTTGTCATAATATAATTAAAATACTGAATGTATTTACTTTGTTCTTTTGGGTTACCAGCAGCCATCTATTTCACTGAGACAATTTGGTGGTCTTGCATTTAATTATATGACTTCATAATTCCCTTCAATCTCTTTATTTCTAAGTAAATAGAAATATATTTGTTTTCTCTATTTTTTCTGTTCAGGTAAGCTAAGCAAAAGTAAACAAAAGGTAAGCAAACACCCAATTTTTAGCCCTTCAAGGTAGACCTGATTAGGAAAACAAAGCCATATAGATCAATATCACTTTTATTTTAAGTTATATTAACAGAACCTTCCAAGTCTGAATGTGCTTCTACCCCTCTCCCTTTATTTTTGTGAGAACTAGGGAGGGTCTTATCTGAACCATTTTCTCAGGTTACAGTGCTTCTCCAAACTCAGGTTTCATTTATCTGACTGTGGTTATGGTGGTAGATGTTCCTCTTGTCACTCAAAGTTATCCCCATTAATCCAATATATTACTAGTTAAACAATGGATAAGGTATAGAAGTAACTTCTTAAAGGAAAATATCTGATTTCTGAATCATAAAATATGAACAGCATTATCTTCCCTTTCTTATTCAATCTGTATATCAAAATGATCATAAGGAAGCTAGAGTTTGAAGAATCAAAAATTGGGGTAAAGATTGGAGGAAGAAGCATTAACAAGTTTCAAGATATTGACAATATAACTTCTCTCGGAAACCAAAGAAGGCCTGGAATGTCTGATCAAGAAAATCAAAGAAGAAAGTGAGATTTTTGGTCTCTTTCTGAATATCAAAAAGATCAAGCTCATGACCACTGCAAAGAATGAAAAAAAATCAAAATAGAAATTGACATTGAAAAGATAGAATGTATGGAAAAATTCACTTTCTTAGGGTCACAGATCACTCAAAACAGTGAATGCAGCCCAGAAAGAAAACATTGGATTGCACTGGATTGAATAGCAATGATGAACATGAGCCAAATATGAACATCAGCCTGGCAACCAATGCAGGTGCGTTCACTCTATTGTGTTCCCTGCAGCTACCTATGATTGTGAAATTTGGACCTTAAAAAAGCAAGAAGGAAGAAAAATTTGTCTGAGCTGTGCTGCCAGAGAAGGCTCCTATATATTTTTGGACAGCAAAGGTGACCAACAAGCAAGTATTAGAACACATAAGACCAGACATATCACTGGAAAGAAAAATCACAAAACTGCCTCACTTAATGAGGGGAATTCATTGGGGAAAAACAATTATACTTGGAAGAGTGAAAAGTAAAAGGAAACCAGGCTTCCAAAGAACCCAGTGGCTGGACACCATAAGAGATGAGATCAGAGCATAGAAAAACTCAAAGAAGTAGTACAAGATAGGAAGATGTGGAGAGTTCTGACTCATAGAATTGCCAAGAGTCAGACACTATTGAATGGATAACATCATCATCACATATTTTTGTACTATCAATTGGTAGAGAGGTGAAAGGCAGAAGACTGGCATTGGTTGGTTGGTTGGTTAGTTGGTTGGCTGACTGGCTGGCTGGCTGACTGACTGGTAGCTGGAATTTAAAAGCTTGTGTATTATTGGATTTTTACTGAGACTGGATTTCCAGGGATCAGATATTTTCATACAACAATATTTTAAATCCTATTAAAATATTTTCTCTTACAAAACATTTAAACAGTAATATTAACTAGCTAAATACAAATCATAGAAAAAATAAGAAAATTTTAACTGTGTTTTTAGCCTATTAAATATGCTTTCTTGATTGCTGAATGAAAAATAAATGCATTTGAATAGATTATGCAGCAGCTGTATTTTTTTTCTGATGAGACATGCTGAGAAGGAATAAAATGTGTGAATATATTTCTGAGCAATTCTTTTCATTCAAGCTTGAAAACTGTATCTACTGGGACACTGAGTCACATAACTGCAATCTTTCTTTTCTCCTCTCTGTCTCACTTTCCCTGCAATGGTTAAAAAAGCCCATTAATTCTGTCTACTTCAGTATTCTATTCCAAAATAAATAAATAAATAAATAAATATCTAAATGTTTTTTTGATGTCACAGAGCATGAAAGGATCATCTTGTGGTTTATCTCCAACAGCTGAAACCTACAAATAAATGGTGCCTTTATAGGATAGAAAGGATAACGGTGGTGGGAAAATGTCTTGTCTACCACAGATTTATATAACTTATTTATGTGAATATTAATATCTCATCTTTCTAGTGGTTATGCAACAAATGGCTTCCATATACAAGTATAAATTTATTACTGAGACAAGAAATTGAGAGGATTTAATTTTCAATGAGGAGAAAGAAAAGAAGCAAGCTTTTGTTTTAGTTATTCTTAGTTAACGTTGGAAATTTTAGTTGATAAATTATAAAAATATCCAGCAATTTACTCCAGATATAGAAGCTAACAAACCCTTTGAGGTCAATTAGACTCCTGGTGCCTACTTGGTCACAGCTATGTTGCTTTCTGAGTAATTAATGTAAAAATAATTTTTCACTGCCTTTTTCTGGGTTGCTATATTCCTGTGTTGATTAAATCTTTCACTGTCAATCTCAATACAAGTTTGTATAGCTGAAAGGCCTTATTCCCATTCTTCAATCGCTTGGTATTAGCAAATATTTATGGTGCCACTTTTATAGAAAATATGTGTGCATTTTCCTTCCCTTTTTAATTCATCCTATTTAAACCTCTCCAATGAGAGCTGGTTCTGGTAATGGAAAAGAGGAAGATTCTTGCATTTGGAGCAAAGTTTCATCTTTCTTCTGGGCAATCTCTATAGGTATATCTCTATCACATCTGATATCTGTTGCCTGGTTAGGTGGTTAGCCAGCAGTTACTACTGCTTGCCGAGGCTCCCAACTAATAGGCATTTAGCAAGTAAGAATATGCGAAAAATTATCTTGACTT